AACGGACTACAAATTTTTTTTTCAATGAGAAGACTTCCCTTATGATACCTCATTTGGAAGAGCATATAAGGAGAAAACTTTTTGCACAAACCTGAAGTCAATATCCCAAACCGTTTCAAGGTGGCAGTGGGTTCAAGTTCAAAATGGCCGAAAATTGGCACCTCCGATTTTTGCAGATTAATTTGTCTGAAACTCCGTATTGAGGAGAATTTCGACACAAGAAAAGCGAATTTGACGTTAGATTTAGAAAGGAAACTAACAATTTGAAAAAGGTGATCGATTTAAGTTCAAAAAATCTAAAATTAGTTTTTTTCAAAAATCTGACATCGAATTCATTTTTTTCAAGCCAAAATAACCCCTGATTCGCGAAAATCTGTGCTCAGCGGAAGTCACATCCAACTTTTTTGAGGCAGTGTTTAACGTTTTTTTTTTCAATTAATTTTTGCCATTCAATACTCACCAATAGGCACTTATTATGGGGTTCTAGCTTTCTCAAATCTCAAAACTCATTTAAAGGCAAAATAAGGAGCCACCTAGAGGCCTCTTACCGCAAAAGGATGGTACTTCACAAAAGAACACAGATGACTTATTTAATGACTATACAAGATTTGAGGAGCATCCAAAGGGCCAAAAATGGGCTACTTTACCTACATCATTAGAATTATTAGAATTTAGGTACATCAAGGCATACCTGTGAAAGAGGTTTATACTGTTGAGAGACAGTTTCAATTTCAGCGATAACTTTGTCAGTCTCCTCAACCTTTTTGCTGATGTCATCCGCTTCTTTTTTCAGAGTCTCCAAGGTTGAAATAACAGAGTTATCATCAAGGATTTTACCTTTGGCTTCATTCAAAGCTTGCAAAAGCGACTTTTCAAGTTGTCTGAGACGGAGGTGGAATTCACCTAGGAGAAATAATTGCATTTTAAGAGGAGGAAACATATGAAAGCAGTAATGAATCAGAGGTATATTAATTGTTGGAAAAAAATAGATTAAGAACAGTTTTAAGTTTCTTCATATTTTTGCTTGAGAGCCAACTTTCACTTTTTTCTGTGAAATGATATGGAAGACCTAATTGATAACTAAAAATTAAAAAATAAATTCATAGGTGAAGTAGATCAGACTAAAGATTCGTTATCCTCCAAGACACCTTTCAAAAGGATGTTTCCATTTGTTTCTACAACAAAACTCGCAAAAGGGAAGATTAAAAATAATCAGGTCACAAACATTGACATGTAGTGTTTTTTCAGCTGCACTATACCAGTTCGTAGACCAAGGGCCGAATTTTGTCGGCTCTTTAACACGGAGAGCAACATCCATCGATGAGTCCAAACCGCACCACCGGCCAATCAGATGCACTAAGCCGGACCTAAGTGCAGTCGAGACCCGTCCTAAGTGTATTTAAGTACGGTGGAAGGACCGACAAAATTCGGCCCTGGGTGTCTACAATCGGCTTAGTTTTAAGTTCCAACCTTATGTAAACACTATTTGCAAACTACCGTCCAAACTAGTAGTTGCTCCCAGTCATACTGGAAATTACTTAGAATGGACTTATGAGGGCAATTTGCTATACATCAGGAGATATTATGTCCTTCCATCACCAAGATTTTGAGCCCATTTCACAATATTGAGACCTTTTGAATGTTTGCAATGTTGGTCAATCCTGTAAACTTTTGTTTTTGATGAAAATCATCCAAAATCCAAAATCTAGTGGACTCCACTTTCCTTGTCCACTTCCTGTCCCAACTTTCCTTATGAGTCCCAACTAGACTAAGTAACACCTCTGATCTATTTTACATTCCTTTAACTCATTGTAACTTCTTTCAGAGATCTTCTGTTGTTAGGAGGAGTAAGATATGGAATAACATCGGTGGAGATATGTCCCTCTTTCGTGCCTCTCTGAGCATCTTCATGATTTTTGGAAGAACTAGTGTACAATGAAATATTGCTTGCTTTCTTTTCTATTATTGGTTGTACTTCCACCTTGTTGTTATTTTTGTTACATTAATTATTGTTTGTTGATTATTATTCCTTCAATTGGCGCTAAGCCATTTTGTTCTGTTAGTATAATAGTATAATTTGGACGATATTTTGCAATTCCGAACTATCAGCAATACTGTACAAGGTGGATTTTAAACACTTTCAATGCGGTCAACATACTACCCGCGATTTTTTTTTGCGGAAATGTCAACTAGAAGGCTTACTGATTGAGAAACAACAAACCGCGAAAACTATAGTTTGGCCGTTTTTTAGAAAATGCGATTTTTCGCTTTTTTGGCGGGTATTTCGGGTTAAGGTGCTGAAAAAGTCAAGGTTGGGCTATTTTAGTGGCCTGTAAATGCATATCCTATACATTTTTAGTCAATCAAATGTCAGTAGATAGCTATTTGTGTATATTGCCCAAAATTTATATCCTTAAATCCTTGATTTCCGGGTTTTTTGGAGGTCTTCTCGCGTTTTTCAGGACATCATGATCAGATGGTCTACTTTACCTTATCATTATTTTTGTCATACTTTTTTTTTACAAAGGATATGATCTTGGTAATCAAGAATGACGGCTACATACTTTTTGTTGAATATAGTTGTTTCAAATAAAATGTTTCTTCCTTCCTGTAAAACTAATCAAACTTTGTCATTCATTTCTATGCCTTAAAAACTTCCATGCTGTGACTTAGCTAATTTTAAAAATTTGGATTCTTTACAAGTATACACCAAGTATTTAGAAGTATTTTTGGAAGTAATCTGTCTTAGTATTTTCAACACTACTGCGAAACCGCCCAGAGAGACAATAATCCAAACCGTGGTTGTTGATGGGAAGAAGGGTAGCAGGGGGGGGGAAGAGGAGTAGGTGCCCTTTATCGTTTAAATTACATGAGGATGTGTAAAGTGAATTTTTCAGGCTCTACCCCCAGTTCATTTCAATTTTTTTTTAGCAATTTGGCCCAGAATTTCCTAAAAAATGCGAGAAGACCCCCAAAAAACCCGAAAATCGTAGATTTAAGGATATGAATTTTGGGCAACATACACGAGTGTCCCAAATTTGAACCATCCAAAAAATTTTCTCGGATCATCGATGTTCGATGGTTTTATAGTGTCATTATGTTGAACATTTAATATCCCCAAATTTCAGCGAAATCGGATGATTTTTAGTGCTGCCACCACGCGTCTTTAGTCGCGGCGAAAATTTCTGAAACTCGCTTTTTTAGCGTTTTGGGCGCAACTTTTAAAGGTCGTTAGCAGCAATTGGAGGCATCACATAATTTTTTATCGTGACTCTGTATAGTATAGATTCAAGGAATAATGTTTTTTTGGACGTTGCAGACCTAAAACTTTTACTTCAAACCCTCTAAAATCGACGAGAAACTCGATTTTTCCCTTTTAAGCAACTAGTCCAGCAGGTCGATTGTTGAATCGTTATCGAATGATTCTGATCGATAACTCCCTATCTTCACAATGCTATATATCGATCAAGGTCATTCGATAACGATTCAACAATCGACCCGCAGGACTTTTGTGAAAGTTAAGGAAAAAATTAATAATAAGCTGATTTTTGGCATAAGGGGGCCTTACGACCCCCTAAGTCCTCCCAGAAAAGTCCTCATTAACAGCGTGACGGATTTGGAATCTGGGGGGGGGGGGTGTTAGTGCCCCAAAATCGCTTTGCCAGCCACAACACAAGAACGATTAGTCGCAGCACTACGAAAAGCACCGCTTTCTGAATCCTTGTAATATTTTGGAGCGATATGCCTCTTTGTCGTTTTCTTGCAGCCCCCGGTATCCCCCCCCTCCCCCAAATTGCAAAAGTATCATTTCAAGGCATATTTTTGACAATAATTCTGCAGGGAAAGTTGCTCAGGGCCTGTTCAGCAATAAATGCTGCTTCCTAATTCATGTCTTTCTAAACTGTTGGTACGATTTAATGTCAGCTCATTGACAATATTTTGGCGCCGAAGTCCGTGAGGGGCGGGGAGAACCACCGTACATTGGTAGAAAATGTAATCGTGAAGAAGGGGTATTTAACCGTGTTTCTCAAGACTGTTCATGCAGACTTGAATCTTTATGGAAATGATTTCGGATTTAAAGCATATGCTTCGTGGAAAAATAAACCAAGGGCTGGGGGAGGGGGGTTGTCACCTGCAAAGTGAAGCCCTCCCCCCCCACATGTCAAGAATACCCCTGCCCTTAGCAATACACAAGACGAGGGAAACAGTGAGCGTAGATTGTGACAAAGGAAATAATGGAGTATAATCTTGGTATTTAATATTTTGACTTGGGCCTGTTTCTGAAATGTTTGAAGGAGCTGGCCGAAGGGTTGATCGACTTACAAGAAAATGTTGCGTAAACGTAAGGTCTCGGTTCCAAGTCAAAATGAAGAGGATTTTGCACGTAGGTCTCTTGGATTTATTGCGCTATCCGGGATACTGAATTAAATCAAAAGGAACTATATCCATTCGGCGGATTCGGCAATGCAATGTCCAGTTACGTTCACCACGACCGGATAATGAGGACTCGAATTTCTGGTCCAATTTCGAAAATGGGCCTCTTGCAAAATTTTGCTACAGCAAAAATAAAAGTTACTTTATATAAATCTTGTCTCAAAAATTACGATGAGTGCATCGGTAAACTCTGAAATGCACTCCTAACTTAGGAAATCTGCTTTAAGAATCATCTTATCTGCGTAAGAAATTTGCGTTTTTTTAAGATTCCCGCTTCAAAAAGGATACTACAGCACAGGTGAACATTTCGTAAAAGGAGTCGGTCCATTCAATCCCTGCTCAACATGGCCGACGCTTCCGCAGGCAAGTTAAAGAGAGCACGAGGTCAATCAAGGTGGATATCTATCAACACGAGAAAAATGTGAATGTACTAAATCACGCCGCTTGTTAACAGGTGATTAAAATCATCGTCCTGTCACATGTGTTTTGGCGGATTGGCGTCAGCTTAGTTGAATATTGCGTAGTATCTTTGTGAGCAGGGGTTGGGTGGCGTGACTCCTCTAACAAAATGTACACCTGTTCCGAGGTATCGTTTTTGAAGCGGGAAGCTCGAAAAAACGCAAATTTCTTATGCAGATTGTGAAGTTAGGAGTGCATTTAAGAATTTGCCGATGCGCTCATCATGATTTTCGAGACATTACTTACAAGGCAACTCTTATTTTTGCTGTAGCAAAAGTTTGCAACCGGCCCATTCGAAAATCCAAGATGGCGGATTTGGCCTAAATTGCTATCTCGGCTCATGTGCAGTCGATCTTGGTGAAACTTGGTATCTGGGAGCATTTTGTGCGGGAAACTCAAATTCCTTACCGAATTTCAAAAATTTGAAAATCTTTCAAATGTTCAGTAATTTTTAATTCTTGCACTTATAAAGTATTGAGTGCGCCTAGTTCACAGGAATTTTTTCCGATCATTTTGAATAATACTAACCGACGATGTGTATGTTTAGGTGGAAAACTTGAATTTTAACAATTCGGAAATCCCAATTGAGGGATGTAGCCTAAAATGTTATCTTGGCCCCTGTTCAATCGATCATGGTCAAAGATAATACCAAGGGGTACTTTTGGACGGGACACTTGAATTTCTACTGAAATTTTTAAAGTTTGAAAATCTAAAATGGGGGAAATGAGAGCTCAGAACCTTCAAGCTAGTTTTTCACTGGTTAATATTGTTCAAAATAATCGGAAAAAATTCCTGTGAACTATGCGTACTCTACACTTCAAAAATGCTAGAATTAAAAATTACTTAACAAGTTCATTGTCAAAGTTTGAAAGATTTTCAAATTTTTGAAGTTCGTTTAGGAATTCGAGTTTCCCGTCCGAAAATTCCCACAGATACCAAGTTTCACCGAGATTGACTGTGTATGAGCCGAGATAGCGTTTTAGGCTACATCTGCCATCTAGAATTTTTGATTTTAAATTTTTTAAAATCATTCAAAAGTCTGGGCCTCCGCTCAAAACTCATGAACAAAAAATGCTAGGGATTCGAAATTTGGGGAATATTCCTAGGTGAAAGGGAACTACTTTTTGGCGTACCCAAAATTTTGGGGGGTGGACCCTAACCCTTTTTTTTCAAATAGGAACCCTTATCTTGTGATACATCATTCGAAAGGGCTTGAAAAAAGAGAACTTTTGGCGCAAACCGATTGTCGATACCTCAATTTTTAACAAAATGGCGGCCAAAAATGGCGGAAATGCGTTTTTTTGGTTATTTACCGACGTATTCGCTTGAAACTTGGTTTCCACAGGTTTTCGAGCACAAAAAAAACAAATACGATATTGGATTTGCAAAATACCCGAGCTTTTCCAAGATGGCGGCCGAAAAATGGCGGGAAAATAAGTTTAAATCGGAATGTGTCAGATTTCCTGTGCGTTGCTCTCAGCCAGTTGAAAATCATGTTTCCTGATTTGTCATTTCAACTACCCAGGACTCACCACGGGGAGGTGGCTACGCGTCGAGTCCCACCCGTGCCTCCCCTTCCGCCCGACCACTGAGGCACATTTTAATAGCGTTCGCGGTGTCTCAGTAAGCAAATAAATTAAAGAAACTGTTATCAAGAAGAGTTTTAATTGAAATTACTCACCCTTGCCAAAAAAATAAAGGAAACAAATCTGCCAAATCTTTTAAGAATAAGCATGTTAAGTAATGACTTTATTGAAGGCTGACGTGAGCTCACGCCCATTAACCCTACAAAAAATCTTACTCATCAGGCGAAGGCTGTTTATTTTTGATGATATTGACCAAGCACTGTTTGCTCTACGCACAATTACCTGAATTTCTTTTCGAAAAAAATTAAATGAACTTTCAACAAGGATAATTTGAAACGAAATTACTCACTCTTCTCAAAAAAAAGGAAAAAGATTAACAACAGTGGTAACAAAGCGAATACGTCGGTAAATAACCAAAAAACGCATTTCCGCCATTTTTTGGCCGCCATTTTGTTAAAAATTGAGGTATCGACAATCGGTTTGCGCCAAAAGTTTTCTTTTTTCAAGCCCTTTCGAATGATGTATCACAAGATAGGGGTTCCTATTTGAAAAAAAAGGGTTAGGGTCCGCCCCCCCTCAGGGGGGCCGCCCTCCAAAATTTTGGGTACGCCAAAAAGTAGTTCCCTTTCACCTAGGAATATTCCCCAAATTTCGAATCCCTAGCATTTTTTGTTCATGAGTTTTGAGCGGAGGCCCAGACTTTTGAATGAGCCGCCATTTTTTGGCCGCCATTTTGTTAAAAATTGAGGTATCGACAATCGGTTTGCGCCAAAAGTTTTCTTTTCTTAAGTCCTTTCGAATGATGTATCACAAGATAGGGGTTCCCATTTGAAAAAAAAAAGTTAGGGTCCGCCCCCCCTCAGGGGGGCGCCCTCCAAAATTTTGGGTACGCCAAAAAGTAGTTCCCTTTGACCTAGGAACATTCCCCAAATTTCAAATCTCTAGCATTTTTTGTTCAAAAGTTATAAGGGGGGTCCCGGACTTCTGGATAACCCTGTAGAGACCTACGTGCAAAATCCCCTACTACTCGCTTAATATGCATTTTTTTTGAGTTTTGAAATGATATTTCTTCACCTTAGAAAAATGAAAAGATTATTGGAAAATTTTGGAATGCATGGTCTAAAAAATCTCAAGAAATTCCTTCATACCTTGCAATTTTAAAAGATCTGACCGTTTGGCATCAATATCTGGTCTCTCAGCTTTAAGCACTCTGTTTAAACATTGAGACTGGAGAGAGGATCTTGTCACAGTAAAGTTCACGAAGGTTACTCGTGAGCATATGTCTGGAGGAAACTCTACAGTTGGGTCTCGTGTTGAGAGGAAAATGACAAATGATGGTGACAAGTCAATGTCTTGATCCCCTAGAGTGATCAAAACACGACCCCCTGTTCGTCGCAATTCTCTGTTGAGCACAGGGTTTAAGATCGGGTCATAATTTTCCACATCCTGAAAAGAGAATACCATTAATTTTTATTTTAAAATATGCTTTGAGAAACTGAGTTATCGAAAAAGGTGATACAACCAGAATTTACATTTTTTAAAGACATATTTGGAGTCTAAACTCTGAAAATGCCAATAGAGGATCATTGTTATGAGTAAAGCAGGAAAATAACTTCATAATCAAGTCAAGCATGATGTTTCACGCTGTTTTTGCTCCTCGCTCCCCTGGAATTCTTTCTAACTTTGTCATTTTATGACTCATACTTGAGCCCTTTCCAAAACTTCCAGACCCCTAAAAATGTTGGGGAAATCCGTTGCGTTGTGCCTCCGTTCTTCCCAAAAAAAATTTTATTTGAGTTAGGATTTCACTAAAATTGTGTAGAATTGGCTTCTGTAGGATATTATACAGAGAATATGTCGAGGTTCAGTTATTTGGCTGGATGTTCAGCATTTTTTTAGTTAGTAAAATGAAGCGCTTTTTCAAAAAAAAAAAAAAAAAAAAAAAAAAAAGCTGATAAGCCTAATTTTTATCTGAAACAAACCCAGTCATTTACATTGGCCTTAAAATTATGTTTTTAACAAGTTATTCAGGTTTCTGAGGAAATAATATACATACATGTATATATAATAGGAATGTGGTAACTAACCTGAACTAATAATGGATTACCAAATCGTAATGCTGATTCCAAATTCTTGCGAAAAGAATCATCAAGGAAACTAGTTTTGGTTATCTTACGGTCCTTGAATTCATTAAGAATGAATTCAGTTGCTTGGCCAGATGGATCAATGATTAGAGGATAACGGTTGAATCTCTGTAGTAAACGAATAGACATAAAAAACCAACAATAAAATCATATCACTACACTAGGATTTCATAGGTCATAATGGACTAAATACTGCACACGACAGAAACTTATTAAGATAAAGATTTTATATCCAAACTTTTTTACTCCCCACCGACTAATCAGACCACAGAATTAGAGATTAAAACCTGTAAATGACAAGCGTACTGTCCAAAGCGGAGGCATTGTCCTACGCCGAATGATACCTTCCATACCTGCATTAATGTGGTCACCAAGGCTCGTGATTTCCCATAAACTCTTAAGTGCCTTGAAGTCCAGTGCATTTTTGCAACACTTAAATTTGCAAAAACGTTGGGTCTTTGACCGAAGATTCGGATTCTGCTTAAAATTTTGTTGAGACTTGGTCCAAATGCCATGCATACACCTCAATAGGACACCTATTAATACATGCTGTTTAGGTCTTAATTCCTTACCTTAATCTTAATGGAATGCATAAAAAGGTATCATGTTGAGATATCTGCACAAGACACGTTTTTACATAAAAGTAAAATTCTCTATTATTTCAAAGCAATTGGTTGTTTTAAAAACGAAAACTAATACACTGTTAAGAATCTGAGAGTTTAAGCTTTTAAATTATATTCGTCTAAATTCTCAAAAAGACTTATGTAAGGGGTCATTTATTTGTTACAACTTATGTCATTGTTCTGATTCAAAATTTAATGCAGCACAGTAAGGTAGAAGTAGCGTTTTTCCAAATTTTCAGAGCGAAAAATTAAAGGAAAGCAGTCACATAATGAGCATACCTTTAACATTATAGCATTTTCAGTGCAGAGATCATCAGAAGGCAAAGCATTGGCTTGCCACCTTAGTCTCTCATCTGGATTAGAGAGATACTCTGTTAAAGCAATGTCTGGTCGAAACTGGAGTCCAGCTTGAGTGAGATGGTGACACCAAGTTGCAAACAAATTATGCCGGTACTGAAAAAAGAGAAAGAAGCATCACTTAAATGTCAACAGATCTCTCATCCTCTCTCCCCAGGATTTTTACTTTCAAAGAAAAACATTCTTGCACCCACTCACCCACACTTGCAGTCACTCTTTCTTGTGCAACAATAATTGTGGTGTCACTGGATTTAATGATGACTAATTATTAACAACCATTGCTGCGGCATGTGCTTTGCACGGGCCTCTGCCGAGTGCGCATCATTATCTTTTCAGCCTGCCACGCTGTCCCGCGCACCGCGACGCCGACCGCGGTAGTTTAACGATTTTTTCCTGACATTATCGTCATTTTGCCTGACATTTCCTGGATTTCCCTGACTTTCAAAATCCCTGACATATTTCGGTTTTCCCTGACTGGCAACCCTGAATATTATCTAAGATATCGCGCTTTGAAATATCCGGTTTATAACGTCATCCACCGGTAGTGACACCCATGGTTTCCTCCTTCTTGTTTTCATCTATTAGTAAGACACACATTTGCACTGGTAACTGAAACTCGGATGAAAGCAATGTGGATGACACCAGGGGTGTCACTTCCTCGGTGGATGATGTCATCAGCCGAATTTTTCAAAGCGCAATAACTAGGTTAGTGCTGATCTTAGAGAGTTACTGTTTGAACAGATCTTTTTAATTTGGGCTGATCCACAAAAATCAAGCATCAAAACACAATTCTGTGCCCAGCGCAAATGAGTCACTTCCTGGGTAGAAATAAGTAAGAATCAATATACTTCAGTCATGATAGGGGCATTTGGATCGCATTTAGCAAACAGGAACCAGCACGATTACAGTGTTGTAAAAATGTTGCTTCTTCATGGTTATCTAAAAAATCTCCCGGAAAAGCAAATAGTTTTTGCTCCCCACCAGAATAAGGTTAATTTCAAGGTAAAATAATTGTGTAAATTTGGATACTGTACATACAGGGTGTCTCACGAAAAACGAGCCACCTTGAATATCTGCCGAACGCGTCGGAATTTCGAAAAACGGTAAAAGACGTGTTCGTTTATATCAAGGGGGACACCTTTTGGCGTATTCGACATTTTCCCAAACCGCGGGAGGGGCGCGGGGCGGGGGGTGCCCCACCCGTAAGTCGAACTTTTCAAAT